AGCAGAAGGACTTCAGTTTACATGGCGATTTCCTTCATTCAGCTGTTATCAGTGAACCAGGAGCAATGATGAGGTGATAAAATCCTAAGGCAGCCTTTATGGAGAGCACTGAGGAACCAGGTAGACTGAAGAAACCAGCTTGCCAAGTTTAAACTATAGGTGGTTTCCAAGGAACCCAGAAGAAAATTAAATCCCCACATAATTCACTGATCATGCTACTGAAAACCTGAAATCTCCCCCAAAACCTTTTTCAGTCAAACCCCCAGTTCTTTTGGCTTTTACGGTCTTTGAAACAAATTACCCAAGAGGAACAAGGCAATTGTTAGTAACTCTAGCAGGTAACAACTGAAAAAAATTTCTCCCTGCTTCAAACCAGCTGAGACAGCTTCTAAAAAGAGGCATGTGTGCTTTTTCCAGTACAGAGAAGGCTGAACAGCACTATTCCTCTGATACTTTCCACTTGTAGATGTGTAGGGAAAATGAGAAAAGAATCATTAAGCGTTATATATGCAGTAGTTTAAGAGGTCTTCACTTTAGTGTAACCCTGTGTGTTGGAATAAGGTGACTCATTTACAGATTTGCTGGATTTGGAAAGAATAGTGTCCAGGAAACCCATAAATATAACTCACTAGGATTTATTTCTAGCAGGAAAAAGGCATTTCTGCTTTACCTATCCTGCTTGTCTTTTCCACCAAGCTTCTGATATTGCAGTCATCTACTAACTGGGTGTGCAATCCCCTCTCATCATGTGTATTGTGTTGGCATAACCATTGCCTTACCATCACCCAGCCCCAAAGAGAGCATGAAGTCCAAACACGTTTAAGCCATGTGTGCACTGAAGTGCTGGGAATGTGAAATGTGAGAAAACAGATGTACCGTCGGGCTGTTGCTTACAATTCTTACTATCTCCTTATGCCGTTTCTTATTTATTTGTCACCATCAAGCTCTGCTTATGAGTAATAACCTGCAGAAATAAGCTCTGGACAAACACCAAAATGACAATCTCTTCCCAAAAGAACGTATACACCAAATACTAAACAATAAAAGAACATTTTTTAACTAATGTGCTTGGTTTAATTAATTAATTAATTAATTAATTAAACAAGCTACTTTCTCTAGCTTGTTTAACAGTTTAGTCTAAAACGTATTTTCTCAAGCAAGTCTTTCTTACATTTCTTGTCTCTAACCAACGTTTTGAATTTCTGTCCTGTGGCTTCAAGCTCATGTGACCAGGAAATAAAGCTGTAGAGCTCTGGCTGCATAATATACTTCACTATAGGTTCACAAGCTTACTGCAAAAGTAGCATTTTCCTGCTACAGCCTAGTCTCCACCCTTTCTTGCAGTTACAGCCATACCTATATTTATCCAGCTCTGGGTAGCTGCTGGTAGTTTCACAGTTCCAGTGTTCCTGAGATAGGAAGTAGGGATAAACTGCAGGAATAAAGACTACACTATTTGCTGTACACTTCATAGCAGGAAGAAAAATCCTCTAGGCAGCACAATCCTGTTGCATTATAATAGTAATTATAATTACAAAAATGGCATTAAAGCAAGATATTCTGGTCAACCAAGCATGAGGTCTGGTAGCTTTGTATTTAAAGCATCAGCTGGGAAGGACAGAGCTTCAGTAAATATCCAGCACAAAAAAAAAAAAGAATGAAAAATATTAGGTTGAGTTCATATCGTTCTTCCCATAGCAATAAGTAATGCTCATGTTCAGCTTCCCCAGCACATTTTTCTGACTCAGTTGTGGCAGCTTCGATTAGTCAGGGATTGCAAAGCATTTCAGCTTTAAAGGTCAGCTGTTTCAGGGGCCTGAACTCAGTTTGCCCTGAATTTTGGTATGCATTGTGTGGTATGCTGGGGGTAGGGCGAGTCTGCCCAACATCAGACATTTGGCTGAGAGAGCCTTCAAAGATATATATCCCCAAAGTCTTATTTTTTCTTAAGCTTGACAAATTATAGCAATTATGGTGTGTGCAGGCTCAGTGATCTTGTTCAGGCCACCAAAGAGCATCCCCACCTCCGGCAGAGCTCCTGCTCTCTGGGCAGGGCAGCACCGCTGCAACTGATAGCCACAAAAGGGCTTTGTAGATGTGAGTCTCAGAGCAAAAACCTAGCATTATATGGTGTAACTGGGGAGAAAGGAGTCAAAAACCATTCTACTTCATCAATTCACTCCAGAATACTTGTCATCTTTATACAGCAAAGCATAAAATGGCTGCAGGCAAACACCAGAAACTCTGCATCTCAGCACAATTTTTATGCTTTGACATGTGCAGACGTACTATAAAATATGTCTTTTCATCAACAAGATGAACCCTGCTATTGTTACTTTGTACTCACTGCCCTATTTTGCAGGAAACTTTTGGTCTGTTTACATCTGTTTATGGAAAGAGAACAAGGGAAAGAGAAAAAAGAGCACCAAACTGGGAAAATGCTTTCTCTGTCAGCGCTACAATATTAATAGTGCTTGCCGTTTCATTCAGCAATAAATAACGAGCCATTCCCTTCTTAAAAAAAGGCAGCAAGAACACACCCTCAGCCAAAACTATCCCAAGCAGAAAGGCCAAGTTTCCATAAGTCAAGACTACATTCATTATATGTCTAAACAGTGCACAGGGTTTGCAGAAAGCAACTCATCTCTTCTAGAGCCACTACTGAATTGCATTTTCGGTGCTTGGCAGAGGTGACCAGGAGAACAATCACTGTTTCTAAGCAGGCCACTTTTTGTGGGGCTGAGAATTCTGAAGCATGGGGAGCAGGGCAGGTCCCAAGCACCCAGCTGTGGGGCAACCAAGGCAGGAGCTCAAGTTCATCGTCCTCTTAAATACAACAATTCTGCCTCTGCACTAATTCATAGAAAGAAGTTACATCATTTCTTGCTAGCTCATAGCTGTCAAATACTACTGTTCAAGCTTCCCATGGCTTCAGTTTCTTTTAAAATCCATATACAGTTACAGAATGCCTGTCTAGCAAACTTGCTGATCTAGCCTAGCTCTTTCCTTTGGAAAGTCTGACATGAAGTAGCTCTGCAAGAAGTTAAAGAGGCAGTATCAAATGTGTTTGCAAAAATGTTTTTTTTTAATATTTGTATTTACCTTCCAGTGGAATAGAATTTCAGGAGCCTGTAAATGATCTCTTCCTTTACAGATCTGGCCCATCCTTCAGGAAGTCAGTTACCTGAGGGCTTAAGCCAAAGGAAGTGCTCTAAGTTATGCACAAATGTCGTTATATTATGAAATGAAGAGCAGCAGCATTGCCATTATTTTTCGTGTTTGATTGGTTTGGTTTGATTTTTTTTTTTTTTGGGATACTGCACTGGCGTATAAATGTCTTTTGCACAATAAGAAAATATTTTTTAATTTTGAATTTTTCTACTAAAGTGTAAGAAAAATTACCATATGAGAATAATACCTGCTCGTGCAATCATGTCTGTGATGAAGATCATAACCTTTATTATATTCTTCATACAGGGAATAAGATTTGCTCTTGTTTGCCTCTGCCAGAAGGTAGTGATTACTCCCTTTTCAGACTGGAGCAATTAATCAGGGTAAGCAGCTTCTTCTGAAGTGAATTAAGTTTAATCACATGGTCCAAACTTAATTGCATTCATTGTATTTCTAACATGCCATGACTAACCTTTTTGCTTGGTGAAAAAATCAGACAGAAAGAAAATACTGTCTTGAAGATGGCAATGGCTTTTAATAAGAGATTTTTGTGGCAGCTCTTCAAGTTGCAAAAGCACTGTCTGTGTCCCACTAGCCTTAGGCAGATGCGATCCAGAACACTTTTTACATCAACAAAAAGCCCAACAGCAGTTGATGGGATTTTATCAAAATATTATGCTAACTGCCATTAAAAACTGAAGTTACAGCGGCATTTTTATCTTTGCATTCACTGCTGCAGTGAACTGATATTGAAAGGGAAATAAAGCAGAGGTGGTATGGTTAAATCAAAATATGATATATCAATCATAATAAGATATGATAAGTCAAGACAAGATATATCGCTATGAATGTGGTGAGGTGCTGGCACAGGTTGCCCAGAGAAGCTGTGGCTGCCCCATCCCTGGCAGTGTTCAAGGACAGGTTGGATGGGGCTTGGAGCAACCTGGTCTAGTGGAAGGTGTCCCTGCCCATGGCAGGGGGTTGGAACTGGATGATCTTAAGCTTTAAGGTCCCTTCCAACCCAAACCAGTCTGGGATTCTATGTCCCTTCTCTAAACCTAGCAGATTCTGCAAACTGTTAACAGCAGTCCAAGACAGGTAAGAGGAGTGAGAAGTGAGCAAGGTACAATGTAACAGATGCAGTTTTTCTACTCAGGCTTTTTTTGGCAGTGTTGTTTTTAAATTAGTCCTAGATTAGATTATAGTGAAATATTACCCCAGATTAGAGCCATGTGCATCACTTTCCCCCCCTAGTTGCAAACAGATAACTTCTTCCTTATTTTAAGAATGAAAATCTTGCATTCATGCAGCTCTCTGTGACAGTGCACTGCCACCAATACATACTGGTTTTGGTGCTGAAAGACTGCTCTTTTTCCCAGACTACCAAAATGTGCTGCATGGACAATCAGATGTTTATCTTCCTTGATACTTATATTAACTCATAATTTACTGAGTGGCTGTCTCCCTCGCTCAACTTTGCAAGAGGTTTGCAGATGGAGAACTTTGAGAGCCGGCTCAGCGTCATCAGGGCAAGCGGTGGAGACAGCATAAAATAGGAATCCTTCACTTTTCCTTAGCCTGACATCTTCCTGGCTCTGCCACTGATTTGCTCTATACCTGTGCACAAACCACTTAATTTTTTTGTACTATTTATATTTTGAGAGCTCATGGGTACTCCTTAGCACCTTATAGAACAAGTCTTTGCAGGAATAGAGCTTATCTCATACTCTTTGAATTCACAATCTAATATGAAAATTTAGGTTATAAGTGTCAAGGTATGAGGAGACTATGTGGGTCGAAATACATCTTGAGCCAATACTACAGGGATCTTACCTTATGGAGTCCAGTTTCTGGAACAGAGACATTCTCCAGTGTTGTCTTATCTCAAGGACATAGTTGATTCTTCTGGATGCAACTGGAATACCCTATACTCGCCATAGGGTAATTCAAATGGAAATTCAAGCACAAATGTGAACATAGGGACAGAATCAGACAAAAATAAAAGACTGGGCCTGAAATGTTTGTTGGAGTGTCTCAGTTTCAGCACAGTTTGTGTGGCTCCCCAAGAGAGTGGTTTCCCAATCCTTCAGCAGTTAATTCCCAGCTGAGATGAAGACATTACAAACATTCCCCATCAGCAGCAAAACAGTATAAGAATGACTACTCCAGTGAGCAGCTGGAAGAGCTGCTCTGCTGAGAAAAGAATTGGATTTATTTTGATTTAGATCAAGCTAAACTTTGAGGAAAACATAATTTCCTGCAGGCTTGAAACCTGGCTTCTCAGGATGCTCTAGAAGGGCATTTTGAATCCCTGAGGCTGGCTCCTGGCTGCTGGGGAGGCCAAGCCATGTGGTCCTTTCCATGACCTGACTGCATGACTTCTCTTTTGCAGCTGTCAAAGACTGACACCTTAATATGTCTTCTGAAGAATTTTACAGGAGATCAGATTTCATTGCATCATAATTCATATTAGGAAACCCATCTAAGCCTACTAAAAGACCACCCTTCAAAGGCAGCCCGTTTTTTTGTCAGTTCCCAGAATTCAAGGGACTCACATGCTGGCTCTGCTCCTGCTGCCCAGGCCTCTCCCTGGGTACCCAAGGACTGAGCACAAATTACATGTCCATTTCAAAGACCAAAATGGCACTTGAGGTTTACCTAATGCTTCTGCTGGTCTTCTTTGCAAGGCAAAATTCATCCTAAGAATCCAACAGTCATAAAAAAAAATTGTTTCTTGAATATCATATTATACCCTACATATTAGTAAAAGCCTTTGAATTAGAGGCAATGGTATCTTAAGTTAACACAGTGTTAAGATTTGAGAAGGAACTAAATCTACATGCATCTCAGTTGCATTACTTTTTGATTTCCAATATTTCTAACTTGTGGAGAACTAGGCCTTGTTTAGGGTTTTTGTGATATTAGTTAAATCACAGAATAGCATGGGTTGGAAGGGACCTTAAAGCTGATCCAGTTCCAACCCTGTGCCACAGCCAGGGACACTTTCCACTAGACAAGGTTGCTCCAAACCCTATCCCACCTGGCCTTGAACGCTGCCAGGGATGGAAAATTCCGCCTATGAAATTCTGATGGTTCCAATTGGGCCATTTTGCTTGTTAATTTTCTTCATATGTAAGAAAAAAAAATAAATTGTGAGACAGCCCATCATCTTGCAAACAAGCAAAAATTTGAGCCAGATCAATTTACTCAACTACCAAGTGTTTTTACAACTCTGTGATGATTAGACTGCTACACTATATTTCATTCTTTGATTACAGCTGTTCTAACCATCACCTAGAACACTAAAAATGAGCTATAGAAATGATAACACAAAGATCTTGTGGCTGACAAATGTATCTTTTGGTGCCAATAATAGTTTTTCCACAATCCCAAATGTGTTACAGTAATGGTTGCCGGTTTCATTCAATGCAACATACAGAAATCAGAAAACACTAGCTTGTATAGACATCTTTGAACTTCCACAGCACTTCCACATGCAAATTTTCAGCTAGTAGTAACTTGCCAGAAAACAAAATCTTAACCAAGATTTAAATGATGAATTGGAATGAAAAAGATTGCCAAGGAGAGCTCAGCTTTTAGAAACAGACAGAATATGTAGCTCACATATTACTGTGTTCTTTGAAGGTAAACGTATTATTTCAGATTTGAGCTGAGTCTTTATTGACCCATTTAGCTAGGCTGACACGTCTTTAATACTTTAAAGTAAATTAATGATTTTCTGATAAAAAACGAACAACCTCATATTTTTTCTTGATTTATTCATTGTCTATCAGGATAAAACGTCACTGATGTGCTTCATCCACTAAAAAGGCAGCCTACTCCTCCTCTCTTGTTAGATGATCCAGATCAGTTTGCTGTGACTACTTCATTTCAGTAAAAGGTAGAATGACTGCTAACTTATTAAATGTGTTAAGAGGACTTGTGTCAAAACTCTTCCCTTTTACTGTGCATTTCAGGGGACAACGAAAAGGGGAAAGGAGAAAATCACATTTCCATTGGCAGGCAAGCAGCTGAAATTCTAATGTCTTCATTCTACTTAAACTTTAAGCTAAATTGAAAGTTTCAATTGACCTGAAAACTGAAATTCCAACCAAATGAAATTACAGGAAGATTATCATTTTTCATGATCTGTGACAAACCTCTTGCATGCACTAAACAGAGTTGGAAAACTGTAAAAGTTTTGATATTTACAATGAAAAGTTTAAGTATTGCAGGCTCTAAAGAAACTTACGAGGATGGCAGATTTCAACTACAACTAGCATTCTTGTTGATGGCTGATGTTCCTTTTGGTTTGTTTATGTCTCCAGCATAGTCACCCTGTCTCAAATCTCCCAAAACCCCCACATTATATTGTTGGATTTTATAATTTTTTATTTTAAGGAAATGCTTATTTATTTTTTTAGTGTTAAAATCTTAACTCTAAAGTCATCAGCAACCCTTATATAACTCAAGGTAAGTCTCTCTTTCCAGAAATGCTTAAGTATTGCTAAGGCACAGTAGCAGGTACCTAAGTGCTTGTATTGTAATAAAATAAGAATATCTGACTTGAACAACATAAATTACCAAGTTCTTACAGAACTTTTCTTGGAACTAATATATTTAATATTTTCATTAGTGACTTTGGCACAAACCCCTAGAAAATATTAACAAAATATGATGGTGCCCTAAATCTGGGAGGCATAATCAATATGAGGAGGATAAAGAAAACCTTATAACTTGCACATAGAAATAGAAATAGGATGTAGTTTGGCAAAAACATGTACTCTGGAACTGAAAGCAATAATTTATGCCTTGAGCCTGGAACTCATCAAATTAAATAGCAGAAAAAGAGAAAAAGTTTTGGATATTAGTTGATCACAGGATAACTAAACCACTTTTTAGTCGGATTGTATCTTGAAGTGAGTTAACAGAAATTTCCTATTAAAGCAAGATTATTTTAAATTAAAAAAATAAGCATAAGAACAGAAAAATCCACCTTATGACAGAGACTGGAAGACACTAGCTGCATTAAGCCTGCTAAAATGAAGCCTGAGAAGCAATATACTGCTTTCTGTAAATATATGATGATCTAAACATTAGGAACACATAAGAACTATTTAAGCTAGATGACCATATATACACACATACATACTGCAGGTAGACATAAAGTGGATGGAAGTGAGCCATGAAGAAGAAAAGTTCTTGAACATCCTCCCAGTAAAAAAGCATGGGCCAAGGACTGAAACCATTCAGAAACTAAGGTTGAGCAACTCATTAAAAGAATTATATGCCATGGTTATCCTTTGTTATATGGAGCTGGTTTCTGTGAGCTGATGGAAAATGTGGACCAGGTTCTTACTGAGCTGACTCAGCTAATTTTGATGAGTGGAGGGAAAGCCCAGGAGCTGACCAGCACAATGCAAAAATTCTGGGTGGCTCATGGTGGGTGATCTTCAGACTAACAATTGTGTCCAGGGCACAAGATGAAACCAGCGTGGCACAGGATGAATGGCAATGGTGAATACTGCTGAATACCCTAATACTGCTGTGGGGAAGAGTGTCACACTGACTGGCAACTGCAGGGGGGACAGGAAGAAGATGGAAGGGGAAGTCAGTCACAGCTAGCCAGAAAACCATCTGGAAAATAACATCTGTCATTTCTTATGTGCGCTTCTGATTTTCCACCTACGTGACTTGAAAGCCTCGACTTCATCTTGAAAATATATGCACATAAAAAAGCCCCAGATCTAAGTTTTCTCACACTGAGCACTTCAAGATCTTCCATAAGTTGGGTTCTTCATACTTCAACTGAGTAAGACTTAATACTCAGTAAATACTCAGTAAGCACTCAGTGTCTTTTATGAGAAACCCTCTCAGAAATGCTTTATTTCCAGTTGAACAAACATTTCATTTAAGGATGCATTAACAACCCAAACACTAAAGCTTCACAACATTTGAAATATTTTCCCAGTAAAACAGTTCCTGTACCCTTAAGTATATTTTTTCCTAGGCTGACTTCGCAGGAAACTATACTGAGCCTCAGCATCCATTATCACAGCTGAAATATCTATACCACAAACATACAATATCTAATTTAACTGATGGTAGTAATGGTCTGTTACTCTTACTGTTATGGTCATTACTGTGAGATAAGTCACTGTTTTTCAGAAAAACTGCATCTATTATTATTATTATTAAATTATTATTACTACTGTTTTCTATTATTATTATTAATAATAATAATATATAAAAATACTGGAGGAATCTGTTTCTCTGCCACCATCTGAAAGACCATGTCATCCCTTGTATATACATACCTCCTTCACTCTTCTGCTTTCTTTCCTCCTATGTTCATTTGCCACCCAAGACAGGCATTACTGTAGTTCTCTTCCAGACATTAGGTCAAAATTTGCTACATGTGCTATGATGGCTATAATACCTCTCAATTAAAAATGTAGCTTTAGTCTAGACATGTAAACAATTTCATATTTATATTTGTGGAGGCCAGATTAGCCAGAAACTGGCCAAAAAGAGCTTGTCAAAAGCCACATTTTAAGCTGAAAGAAATTATTTTTCAGGTAGCATGGTGTTTTTAGAAAGCTGAACGTGTACCTGAGGAAGATTTTGTGTTTGAGGAGCAACAGGAGCTGACTCCAGGGCTAGGCAGAATCTGCATCAACTTGATTCAAGCCAGATCCATTGTCTCAGATTCGGTGTGCACTATGAACTGCCAGCACCAGGAGGATGTTGCTGAAAGGCAAAAGGAGCATGAATACAAAGAGTTTATATCATATAAATGATATGATATATATGATTACATATGATTACAAAGATATTATATCCTATAGCATAAGAAACCTAAAGCACAGCATCATTTAGCCATTAAAATATTTTGAAGACTTGCTATCAATACTTTCTTCTGATCTGAACTGAACAGCAGTCTTTAGAAAGCTGATGAAGAGAGTAAACAAAGGCCAATCCCTGCCCCACTCAACAGGAGCCACACACAGCAGTCAGAGCAAGGGGGTTAGGGGGGTTGCAACCAGTAAAACAGATAAAGATGATGTTAGCCTGGCAGGCATAAGAAAACTACTTACAAGTATGCTACTAAGGTAACTACTTCCTACTATTATTATTAATCCCAGTCCCCCAGGTTTAGATGTTGTAGGTAAGCAGGTGAATGTTGTCCCCCTTGCCGGATGCTGGGTCCTTAAGGAGGAGGGACTGGCAGAGGTGGCTCGAGGGGGCTCAACCAGGAAGGGCAGAAGAGACACAGCTGAAATGTGCTGCCGGGAAAGGAATGAAGCGACCAGGGAAGCTTTGAGGAGATATGGCAGTGGCTAGCATCACTGTTGGTGGCAAGAGCTGAGACCATGAAGGAAGGCATGAGTGTAAACACATGAATTCTTCAATGTACCTGCTGTGCTTAGCATGCTGTAGCATAAACATGGGGAGATGTCTTGACCCAGAAGGAAGCAAAGAGATGGTACAGGGAAAAGTTGTTATAATCTTCCTAAACAGCTGCCTTGTGCCGGCTAATGCTGGCACAGCTCCCATCTGCATCATGCTGGCCACTGTCCAAGACATTTCAGCCTTGCTGTTCCATACGTGGTTCTTTGACAATGTCCAAATACAAGGCAGTTTCTGGCTGTCCATGTGAGTCTTTTCCTAAGCAGACACAGAGCACAGAATTTTTGAGCAGATTTGGGAGTCCTCACTGTGTCCTCCCTATGCTCTGTGCGCTGTTTGAACAGCTTTTTCCCTTGGGAATGTCTTTAGACCCCTTGATTTCTCCACTTAGGACTGAGCTCCAAAATAGCACTTATGAGCTGACCCTCTGTAGTGGGCATGGACATTGCACAACCTAGCAGACTCTATCCACAACCACCAGAAGGAGCACAGCTAATAAAGTTTAACTCCAAATAACATACCAAGGATTTATATGTAACATAGAATACATAAACCCCATCTTACTATCAGATCTCCAGTTTTTCCTGCCTTCCGCAAATGACTTTAGCTCCATACACAGTTCATTATAGTTTCCAAGAACGACAGAACAATCCTGAATTACTCCTTTCCCACCCTAACTTTGTCTTTCCAGCAAAAAAGCCTATGTTCTGGCCTAAAACTATTAAATAAATCAAATTATTTTCATTTGGCCTTGTATAATAAATAAGAATTTGGATTCTTGTTTGATTAAGCTTGTTTGCAGCTATGAAAATGTAAGACTAAAAATTTATACTTGATTGCAAGCTCATTTCTGTAATAAAATGTAGACTGGTTTTGTCTGTCTGGTTGGCTTAATCCACTGGTTACTCAACAAGCTGTACCTATAACTGCAATTACATATAAGCTTTACCAATCGAGCCAGCTGGCTAAAATCCTTTGGTTGTTCCCTGTTTGAACATCTACTTAACATAACTGGTTACAAAATTCTCAATGGGTACTTGTGCAGATGTGGGTTTAGGCAATTTCTAGATTGCATGATTGCATGAAATAAATCTATGATGTCTAGACTTTCTTTCCCACATGACTCCAGTACAGAAGGTTTTGACCAGCACTGTCCCAACCTGTGTAATTTATACATAGGTAGTGTATTTTCACTGTACACAGGCCAAGTTCCTGTGTACACTGATCTCTGCCAAAGAACTTTTCCAGTTGCTCTTTTTTGATCAGCCAAGCCATGATTCTAACACCAATTCCCTTATTATTACAAAACAACGAGAACCAAACACCAATTTGCTGAACAATGTTTTGTTCATTGAAAGTATAACAAAATCATCTGGTATTTCTTTCCATTGTTCTTGTTTCTGCAAAGGAAAAGTTTTTAATTGCTTTATAAATTTGCAATGACATGTAATTTAATTGTCAAGCTATTTCTCAGTGCTAGGAGAACAGATCTTTTTAATTTCTTGGTAGTTCTTTACTTCCTTTAGATTTCTTATGAAGAGATTCCTGGCTGTTGAGATAATATAATTACCCCTAAATATATGAAACATAAGCTGAATCTTTCATTCAGGCATTTCTGCACAGACAGTCTTAAAAGTACTCTCCAGAGTTACCAGGCTTAAAAAGAACTTACAAATACTATTTAAAAATAGTGACGATAATGCCAGTCTAATTTTTAATGTCATCTCATCTGTGATTTTGCCCTCATTTGGAGAAAAAACAAACAATCAAACAAACCAACAAAACCTATGAAAATGTTTTATTCAGTATTAAACTGATTGGTATTGTGAAAAGGAACAGTAATACATAAATAAAATAGTATCTATAAATAAATATATATAAATATATATATTTAAAATAAATAGATATACATAAAATAATACATAAATAAAATACAACTACCCCAGATTTGCTTTAGTTTGCAACTTTGTGTGCTTTGATTTCACCTTAGTTACTTTGGTTTCCTGGGCCTGCTTAAGCAGTGCAAGGAGGGGACAATACTTTAGGACCGAAATATAGAAAGGACTTTTTGCAAAAATCTAGCTGAAAAAGACAACATATTACTTTAGTCCTAAGGCTTGGTCTGAACATGCTTCTTAGCAGTTTGTTCAGATGGACATATTGATTTAATTGGCTGCGTTGAAAACTGTGAAAACAGGATATAACTCCTGTTGGTGTCTGTATTTATTTAGGATCCTCCTGTAGCTAGGACTCTTTGGAAAACAATGGTTCACACTGAAGTTCATTAGTGTGGGTTGTAACACATGTTATTAGAATAATCTGAACAACTAACCTGTTACTTGTGACTGCATGTTTCACCAGCAAGAAAAGAAAGGCAACTAACCCTCAAGATACTCACAATTTCCAGTATAGTTTTTGCAGACTCAGGAGGTCTGGGTCCCACTAGCTCGTTTTCGCTAACCTGAAAAAAGGACTGTGCCCTACCAACCTTCCAGCTCCCAAGGCAGCCCTCCTGCAGCACGCAAGACTCCATTCTGCTTACAGATATATATTTCCTACTTCATGATCCTCCTGACACCAATGCTGGCAGTGCCAAGTGCTCCTGGAATGGGCTTTTCCAGGAAAAACAGGATTGGTTTTGTTAGAAACCCTCTGGGCTTGTTTGGGTTTCAGAGTGACAGAATCCATGAAATCATATCTGTCACTAAGAAAGCTACTGAATCGTTGCTCTGGTTGTGGTTTAGACAACCTGATTCTTATGAATGTGTTTTTACTAACTGATTGTACAGCTGGTGTATTTTTCCAACCTCACAAAGCCTTCGTACCAGTCATCTCCTCCTCAAATCTGCTTGCCTTCAGGATATACATCCTGCTCTTGGGATTCAGAAAGAGCCACCTGCATCCTGCTGTTTGAGAATACTACATACAGATGTACACATATAAACGTATGCATACACACACATTTATATATACAAAATAAAAACCACAATCTTTTTATTACCCCCTACCCAGAAAATATGCTAACAGTTTCCATTTTCTTTATTTTTTAAAACTAAAAACTGATGTAATTAAGTAGTTCATGTTTATAATCACAAAAATCTTGCTTCACAGCACAGTTACAAGCCACATTATTCATGATATAATACACAAAGTATGAGCCATATGTCTGCAAAAAGAGGCACACGAGTCATTATGTAGAAGCTGTATCTTTAATTTCAAACATAATTCGCAAGAACTTTTGGTTACTTAATCATTTCTACCTCTTTCCTATTTGGAAGCAAAACACACTGGGGTCATATTCAGTTACAGCCCAAGATAATGTAACTCAGATTAGCTCACTGTGATTACATTGGTGTGAATGCTTTTCAAAATCTCAAGACAAAAGCTTATACTACAGATTGTTTCAACTCAATCCCCCCATATGGCACGCAGGAACACTTTGCTCTTCCTCCACCACTGCAGCCACCCACCCACCCTCCAGCATCTTTTTCCTCCCTAGAGACATCTATGGCAGTTTCCCTTAGGATGAAAGCTTATCCCTCCAGGCTAGACATAAAACTTTCGCCCCCTGAGGCAGCAAAGGTAGTTCGAAACAAAGGAATCCTTTATTTTCCTTAGTCTCAGTGACAACCTATTCCTTTGGTACAAGGAAGCAGCTTCCCCATGGCCCCTCTAGCACGCAGCTCATCCCTCCATCTGCACACAGCAACAAAAGGAGATGTCTCCCCTCTAGCTGGAGCCCCAGCAAAACACAAGGGCTATGTCATTAGCAAAATTCTGTTTTCCACGGTTCATCTCTTAAGTCCTCCCTGGGGTCTTATCTAGAACTGTTCTGGAGTTACCTTTTTTTGTAGAAAAGACAAAAATTACATGCATAAAATTAACTGATGTGCATACAAACACAGACTTACAGATATCTTAGACTGTAAGAGAAACTGCAGTTCCTTCCTTTCTTGGACTGCCTTCAAACTTGAAGACAGTTTCCAGGAATAAGAAGGTTTCTGTTTATTCTACTAACTTGTAAGACACAGCCACCTAAGTAAAAAACCCCAAAATTCTCTTACAGAAAAAATCTTACAAAATACAATTTTGGGTGCTCTAGTTAAAGCTGCCAAGGGTACTCTTTATTGTTAATTTATTTTGTCACCCTTTGGGAGCTTTTTATGGTGTCTACAAGGACCACTGAACTTGTTTTCACAGATCCCACTCACTTTGTCGTATTTATTGCTCTCCTGAAATTAGTTAGAAGATAGAATTTGGTGCAGTGTTTCCTCTCTGCTGTTCCTGTTTAGCTATGGTAATATGCTGGATAGTCTTTGCTTTATGTTCATGTAAAATAA